GGCGGCGTTTTTCGTGCGCTCTTGCTGCCACCCTGACCCCTCAATGAGACCCTCTGCCTTGGGCCTCCTTTCATATGCCTTTGTTTTGTGAAATTTTATTATACACGTCTTTTGAGAGGTTTATGTGTTAGCAAGCAACGATTGTCTCGGGATATACGCTAGTTTATATCGCTGCGGTTTTTTCGTTTTTCATTTTTCTTCTCCCTACTTTACGTCCGTGTGTTTGGTTGTTTTTGTTGTTTACTGTGGTAAATTGTGAGTGAGGACGAATACCGGAGAGGAATGTTTTTCTTCGAAATTTCTCCGTTGCATTTTAGCCTTTTTTGCTGTTTGACAAGACACTGCGTTTTTCTGTTTTGTTTGAGCTGTGGGTGCTTGGCAGCTTTTTGTGTGTTGTGTGGGTGGCTGTGCATCTTTTGTTTGTTTACTTTCTAGCTGCATTCTTTTGGCAAAACGCATCAAAGCGCAAAGAGGTAATCACATGCACCATTCGCTGTCTCTGACAACGGCATTGCGATGTTTATGTGGCCTCCATGCGCTTCTTGCATTTGATTTATGGAATATGCAAAGTTTTGAGCTGGTGGTAGCTGCCAACGACTCTGCAGTGTTTGTGGGGAGTTTGGCCATGCTCCATAGTCTGATACACGCATCCAAAAAAAATATTTTCCGTCTTTTTTTACCACTTCCCACTTTGTCGTCTTGTTGCGTTGAGGGTGCAAAGAAGGATCATAGCCCAGTTGTGTAGCTGTGTGGACGCGGAGGTTTTTCTTTTTTGTTTTATAACCATCTCAGCGACTTTTAGCGGTGTTAGCGGGAGGAGATTGTTTTATTCTTTGACGAAGAATAAAAGAGACAGTTGAAACTGCACATTCCATATGTACGTATCGTCGGTGCAGGGAGGAGTTGTGACGAAGGAGGACATGCACGAGTTAGCGATGCTGACGGCGATGGCGCTCCAGCAGCGTTGCACTGAGCAGCGTCACTACGAGCCATTTGAGAGCACCATATTCCACAGTTGCCGTATTCCGCAGATATCCTTGTGGGACTACGTGCGGCGTATAGCCAAGTATTTTGCCTGCTCCCCAAGTTGTTTTGTACAGAGCATTATCTTCCTTGATCGCTATGTTGAGGCGAGTAACATTCCAATCACATTCCACAATGTACACCGACTGATGATTACGGCGGCGATGGTGAGTGCGAAATTAAATGATGATGCATGCTATAACAATGCGTATTACGCACACATTGGGGGTATCAGCAACGCGGAACTGAATTCCTTGGAGCTAGCGTTCTTGAAGACGATTGGGTGGTGTACATGGGTGGAGCCGAATGAATATGAAAGGTACTTTTTACACTTGCAGCTGGTTTTCGCAACTTCACTGGGGTCTGAGATAACACCTCAGGCTCCTGGGTATGCCATCAATGGAATAGGGGTGGAATAGGTCGCGCCAAAATGCCGTCCACATCTCTTTTTTCGTATCCTCTTTCTAGCTCGGTGTGCACGTAAAGCGTTGCGCATCAAATCAACGCGGTATACTGTGTGATCGGCTCTCGATCTAATACACCCTGAGGAAAAGGGCGACCGCGTACATGAGGGATGGTACGGCGCCTGGTAATAGCGTGGGGGGACGCACTCTTCGTCTTCGCTTCTCTCTGTTCTCTGCTAGTTTCTTGCTGGGTGAGTACTATCAGTGATGTACGCGCAGCTGTGGACAAGCACATTCCTAATTTGTCCACCGGTCGTTAGTAATATGGCGACAGGTCCACGAAGTTTTTTTGCCTATTCATTTAGTCTACAGGACAGCGTGGGTTTTTTTCAATGTGAGGGTGTCTGTGTCACTCCTGCGGGTAGTACTGTTACTCTTCTGCTCGGCCGTTGTCTGAGGTCTGAATCGCGCCTTGCCTTCTTCAGCGTGGGGGAGCAGCAGGGCTTTCCATGCCGTTCTCACCACTTGGTTTTTGCCGCACACATTCGACCTACTGCTTCTGCTTACTTGTGCATCGCCTTCTTTTTTCCATTTCTCTCTCTTTATTTCTGTATATATATATATATATATATATATATACTTACGTATGTGTGTGTTTCGGTTAGGTTGGTCTCTTTCTTTGTCTTTGCTACAGTGTAAAAAAAATGCAGGTTGGATATGGAATGCGTGGTGGGCGTGGCGGTGGTCGTGGGCGCGGCGGCAATTACGACTACGGTGGCCAGTCGCAGCAGCAGTTCATGGGCAGCAGCGCGCCAACAGACACATTGTGCGTACGGATAAGTGAGATTCGCCAGCCTGTGACAGAGGACATGATGTACCGTGTCTTTGGAAGCATTTCCACCAATCCGCGTCGTGTGCAGATTGTCCCCTCCTCTAATCCCAATGAGACGGTTGTCATGGCACAGTTCTCAGACTCGTATGCGACGCAGCGTGCAATGGAGAGCCTGAACAACCGCAACATCTTCAACGACGGAAACAAGATGGTAATGAACTACACTACGTGGGAACCGGCTCCTGTGCTCCCAGCACCACAGGTGCCGGTCTACGGCACTCCTGCCGCAGCGTACAGCGGCTTGCCGCCCCCGAACAACATGATGTACCAACAGATGCCACCACAACCCAATGTCTATGTGGCCCCACGCCCGCAGCCAACGCTGCAAGTACCGCCAATCCAGCAGCCACAGATGGTGCCCATCCCGCAGCCGCAGATGCAGCAGCCACGAATAGGCTTTGAGCAACTCCGTGGCGGCGGTGGCGTCCGAGGACGTGGGCGTGGAGGTCTTAGCGCCCTTCGTGGTGGCTCTGCGGCGATGGGCTTCGACCCCATGATGATGGGGTATCCGCCTACCGGATACCCGTCGATGCCGCCCATGATGCCGATGGCCAACAACATGATGGCGGCCTATATGTCACCGAAGGCGCTCCAGAATATGCCAACTGTTTTCCTGAGTGTAACTGTAGTACCTGAGAAGGTGGCACTGCAGTCTATTTTTACCCTTATTGAGGCTTTTGGGGGCGTCGTGACAATTCGCCGTAATCATAACAAGAAGGAGATTCTGACAGTGAAGATGGCGTCTACTGCTGAGGCCGACAATGTTGTGCAGCATATGCGTAAGGTGCCGTTCGAGGGAGGCACGGTGAGCGCCAAGCGTTTCCCAACATACAACGAGCGCACACCATGCACTGATGACGGGGATCCGGTAGATCCGGCAACAGTGCAGTACGACTTTACAACGTCGCGCCATCGCAGCCCTGGTCAGCGTAGCAAATGCCACCCGTCCAATGTGCTCAAGGTGACGGGCTGTGCTGGGTACTCGGAGGCGGATGTCATGACGTATTTCACAAGCGAGTATTTTTTTCCTGACCGCATCATCAAAGATGACGAGGGGGCGTTCACTGTTAATATGGCCGACACAGAAACCGCTGTGGCGCTTCTCGTGAAGTGCCATAACAATGTGTGTGGCGAAGAGAGGTCAAATGTTCTCTTTATAGAAGGACCCAAGGAAGAAAACGGCAACAGCAACAACAATTGCGAAAACGAAGAGGATAACGCGGAGAAGAATAGAATGGAGTGACTTCATACACCTGAACAACAGGAAGAAGCATATATATATATATATATATATATATATATATATATATATTTNTATATATATATTAAATTAGGCAATATATAATCTAGGACGTATACAAAGCGAACAAGAACACCAAGAAACAATAAAACAAAAACAGATGGTGATGCCTGTTGAGAAGAGGGCATGTTGTTCAATGGGACGACAAAAAAAGTAAGATTTGCCACCTTGTTCGTATGTCTCACCTATATTTCTTACATACTGTGAATAGCTTTGCTCTTTCTCTCTTTGTTTCCTCTCGGTTATCTGTTTTCTCTTTCTTTTTCCTTTTGTCTTTTTTTTGTTTTATTCGTTAAACACCGTTCGAAACGGCAGCCGCCCCCTTTCTGTGTCGACGTATCTGCCCACTTGCTGGCATTGTTGACCTTCCGTGAAGTTTTCGTTTTATGATTTGGTTTGACCACCTTCTCAGGAGTCATCATGTGAGGGTGTAACTGGCAGAGTTTGGTTAACTTCATTCCATCGGTATACAGCGTCAGCAACGGGCAGCGGGAACTTGGCGTAAAAAGGGGGTGGGAGGTGACATTAACGCATACATACATACATACATACATACATACGTACGTATGCATCCATTTGGATTGTTTCTTGGCACCACATGATACATATATGCTTATATATATGCACACATATATATATATATATATATATGTATATATGTATATTTTCGTACATTACCAGATAGATTTATCGTTTCTTTGTAGTTGAAGTCCGCGTCACAATTATCATCATCAACACCACCACCATCATCGAAGAGCTGCTTACTTGTTTCTTGTCACATTGTGATACTCATGGGTGGGGCCAGTGGCTTTCAGAGAGGCGCGTGATTGATCACTTGCCATACTCGCACGTCTTTAGTCATTCCAGAAAAAGGGGAAGGGGTCTTCCCAGAAGGAGTTCAAGAAAATAGATGCAGTCATTTGTATTTGAACTGTATCGGGTCCGTGCCCGCCGCCGCTTTCAGTTTCTTATGGATCGTCTGGTCTGTTTTCTTTTGTCATTGTTGCTATGATTGTTTTTTTTTTTGATTGTCTTTGGGCGGCCCCACGTACCACTCTGTCTGAATCTGGCAGGATCCCTGGTGTTGTGACTTTCTTCTGTGTTTCCTTTTGGCGGCATTTGTAAGCAGCACCAATATGGTGGCGTGCGTGGATGATTGTGCACCTGTGAATGCGTGTGCGCCTGGTGCTGCGTTCTGGCGGCCTGAGGCGAAGCTGCGCCGCCTCCGTCCAGGAAAGGGTCTGTGTACGTTTGCCGTTGTCTTCTGCCTGTAGGAGTTGTCCTGTTTTGCGTGTGTGGCACCTCTACCCGCCGTTTTGCGCATACTAGTGCGCGGGTATCTCGTGGGCGGGGCGCCTGCTCTTCTTTGCTGTGCTCTTCCTTTGATCCCTCCCTTTCCCCCTCTCTCCCCCCCGCTCTTGTGGCGGGGGGTGTTTTACGCCTGCGTTGTGCGACGGGTAACATGACGTGAGCGGAGGTAACGTCCCTCAACGAAGGCCCGGCATAGTTAAGGCACCCGTGGGAGAAAAGGCAAAGAATATTCTGTTTTCTCTTCCCCCTTTTTAACCCACCTCCAACTCCCATCGTGGCTCTCGTCGCGTGTTGTCAGTGTGCAAAGCGTCGTGGTTTGGGTAACGGAGAGCGAGACAGCAACAGGAAGGAAAAACACCACATAAAGGATAATTAGAAACAGGAGTCGACACAGGAGAAGGGAAGAAGACACACGGAAAAGTAGGCGGCAGTCGATAAAAGAACAAAGCAAAACAAACGAAGAGGAAAAAAAGGCAGGGAAGGGATCAGCTCCGCCAGTGGATCAGAGAGCAACGGGTTCATCATTCGCAAGACGCAATAAACTTACCGAAGCGGGAAGAGAACCTACGAAGCGCGAGTCGGTTGAGACACATACGATTTGTTTCCTCGAGCGGACAAAAGAAGAAGAAAGAAGAAAAAGCAACAAAGAAGGGGTTTTAATATTTACTGGAGAGAAAGGGCCCACGGAAGCAACAGAGAAAGATGATGTCAGTTGTCTTAAGAAACATACCTCCTCATTGTCAGGATGACGAGCTTCGCCGTGCGCTGCTTATCTACGGCACCGCTGTGAACACCGCGATCTCTCCTCAGTTGCGTCAGGCGACAGTGACGATGCGAACGCCACAGGAAGCCCGATCGCTCCTTCAACACAGATGTATCAACCTGTTTGGGCAAGCAGTGACTGTTGAACCGCTCTCCTACGGTGGAAGCGCTGGGACACCAGCGATGATGACTCCGCACCCTGGTGCCGCACGAATTAATGTTGTTGTGGAGAGGTGCACATACCCGGTGACAAAGGATATATTAACACAGGTGTTCAGTATGGTCGCTCCGCCTGCCAATGTGACCTGTGGTCCTTCTGGTCCAACAACGACCGGGTGGGTAGACTATACCGATTCTTCTACAGCCCAGCGTGTGGTTCAGCAGCTGAACAAAAATTCCATCTACCCCGACTGCTGCTTTATGACTTTGACCCTCGAGCACACCGGTGGCGCCCTCTCCGCAATGGGCGGCGGATATGCCCCCCCTTCGATGTCGTACCCGCATCAGCAACCACCCCCAGCGCTGCAACCACCTCCACCACCACAACCAATGCAGCAAATGCAGTCGATGCCATTCGGTCATGCAAACTACGGGGCGATGCCTGGCGTCATGCCGCAGCGGGGCGGCATGGGGGGTCGCGGCCGTGGGCGTGGTGCTATGCTGGGGGGACGTTATGGCCAGTCATACGCCGCAGATCCCGCCGCAATGGCGCATCTGCCGTACGCTGGCACTCCGTACGCTGCGCCTCAAACTGACGCGGTAGTTATTGTGAGCAACGTGCCTGAGACTGTCGCATTGTACGACCTGTGGGTGCTACTTGAGGTTTACGGTAACGTGAAATCGCTTAAGCGGCAGTTCAGCTCAAAAACAACTGTCGTTGCTCATTTCCAGAACGTTCATGACGCTCGCCTTGCTGTACAGCACCTTCAAAACTGCCCGTATCACGGCTCCATGCTTTCTCTAAAGCACTTCGCCGGATATGTGGAGCGCGGTGGCAGGACGGAGTGGAACAGTGGTCCCGCAACGGACCCTGCCACACATGCTGTGCTCTTCTCAAGTGGATACCACCACCGAACGAAGCCTACGGCAACTTTTAACCCAACAGGACGTGTCCGCCCTGGGAAAAATCTGTTTATCTCTAACCTTACTGAAGCAATCACCGATGATGATATTAAGGAGGTGTTTACCAAGGCTGGATATGAGCTGGATGGCTTCTTCCGCAAAAATGCATCTGTCGCCATTGCTAGTTTGAGCGATATAGAGTTGGCAGTACACGCCCTCATTGCGGTGCATTCTCAGCAGCTTAAGGAGCGCTTTCTACGGGTTACATTTTCTCATTTTTCTCCTGGGCCTCGCAGCAATGGTGAAGAAGAAAACGTGAATGCAGTCCAAGAGACGAAGGAGATCGACACGGAGAATGTGAATGAGGAAAAAGAGTGATTTTTCATTCCCTCATGGCGCTTTGACAGCAACTAATTTCTTCTTTATTAAAAGACTAACAGGTAATGGGAGAAACCACTACCGCAAATTTTCTGTTGTGCGTGTTGATTCCAACCCTCCACATCTGCGCAGAATGAACATGTTTTTCAGGCACCTGCGAAGGCGTATTGGAATGTAGCGAATAGATATTTCTGTAAAGAAGATAATGCCCCCCACACTGTCTGTTGTTCCTTTCTTTATTTGATCTCTGTTTTCGTTCCTGTGGTGTGTTTTTGTTTTGCTCCATTATGCATCCTTCTTTTTTTTTTTGTTTTCTTTGGCTTGGGGGGGGGGGTGAGGTGCGGTTTACCGTGTGGAAAAGAAGAGAAAGAAAGGTGGCGTGGTGCGCATGGACGTGTGGGAGCCGTCGCTCCCAGGCGCCGGCGCTCAGCGTGCGGTGCTGGTGGTGCAGCTGTACATGCGCATAGGGAACTACAACCCAATGTCTGTCCTCGTCGCGGATGCTCTGTGCGTGACGTTCAAGGCGGGCGGCGCGACAGTGGCGGAACTCGGCGCGTATTTGGGCCTGCAGCCAGACCGCGTGGAGGCCGGCATCGAGGGGATGCCAAAGGAGATGTACTGCACGTCGTCGCATTTCCACCAACACGACGTGAGTGTTGAGGAGCGGGGGAAGGGCAGCACCAAGCGGGGTCGGCAAGACGGCACAGAAGAGAGTGCGCTGCGGTTCTACATCAACTATGCCACAGCCTTGCCGTTCGCCTTTGCCCACGGCACGCACATGCTGCTGGCTCTTTGTCAACTTCCCGTGCCACAGGCCGGTGGTAATGGGGAGCTCAGCGTCGAAATTGCCACGCTTAACGTGTCGCCAACACTTTGGCGTGTGGACTCTGGGCGAGGTCTGTGCTGTGCGTCCTGTCGCTACTGGATGGCGTTGAAGGACTTGCGGTCGACCATCTCGCGGTGCCCTCTTTGTCAGGCGGACATTCTCTCTAGTGTGCTATGCGCCATAAAGGCTCGCTATGAGGAGAAGTTGGCAAGGGGCCAGCCGCTGTTGACATTTGGACCCCTGCAGCAGCAGCGCACGGGGACTTCTGTGAAGGCGGAAGAAACAGCAAATGACCCTTCATCAAAAGTGGCTGGCGAGGACGCTGCAGCCTATCCTCTGGCGCGCGACCCCTTTCTTGTTCAACAGGGACTCTTCTTTCACTTCTTATACTCTCGTCCATTCGTCTGCGTCAATGATGCGGCCTTCGTAGTAGACCCAGATGAGGTGATGACGAAGGAGGAGTATGAGCACCGATCGAAGCACCGTGCAACCGTGCTTGATCAGTTTCGTCTTGTGCATCGAAACGCTGGGGCCATTCGTGTCAAGTGTCTTGATCAGGAGAAACTCGATATGGAAAAGTGCATGGCGAGTGTCATGAAAGTTGCGAAGCGGGCGCAGCTACCACCTTGGCTGCGTTCCGTGTCTCTTTATCCCGAGGGCGATGAATTACCATTACCAGGGGTGCCAGAGGAGGAAAACACTATGAATGTCGTGGATGGGCAAACACGAAAGCGGGTCAGACGGCAATTTGATGTGGCGGCCACTGCGAAGTACATAGCGCGGGAGTTTTTCGACAACGACTACGACGAAGTGCCGCTGCGGAACGCCCAACCCGAATAACATCACAGTGTCTTTGTGGCAAGGCTCTCTTTTTATTGAGGTGCTCAAGCGATACCGGCGTTATAATTTTTTTTTTTTGTGTTTTTCGTAGCAGGCGTAAATATGCCTCTATATAGCTTTCGTCCTCCCCTTCCCCATCCCTCGTTCGGAGTTTCCCTCCCGCCTATTTCCTTACTTTTTTTCTAAGAATAAGAACAACAACAACACAACGGGGTAATAAGGGGGAATTGGGCGGGCTCTTGAGCGTCTCCCCCTGTGCGATCTTCCACCAGATGGATGTGCCTCTTGCGGCGTTTTCGTCGGGTGACGAAGGAGTGGCGTTCTGCATCAGCGGTAGTGGCTTCGTGGCAAAGAGGGCGTCGGCCTCTTCGGGGGATGGGCCAATCGTCAACAACTCGAGTGGCGTCACGAATTTTGTGAGACTGCTGGCCCTTGATGGTGTATCGCTCGCCAGTGTTGTGAGTGGTGTGCCAGAGGGCGAACACGAGGTCTTGGCAGATCATCTCGCTCAGCTCCTTTGCACTGCATGTGAGACGGAGCCGATGGGGGCCGCACGCATTTTGACAGCGCTGCTGTTGATGGAATTTGACCGCGCCACACGTAGGTGTAATGATGTGCACACTTTTATGCGGGGCAATGGCGTGGTGCCGAAGGTTTTCGAGAACTTCTTCGCCAAAGTGACGGGGGCTGGCGGAGGATTGGAGCATCAGCTCCTCGGCTGCTGTGCCGTTCTGTGCGACCCCGAATCAACGCGGCCGAACACGCAGATGGCACCGAAGGTCCACGACACGGTGTCTAAAGAAACCGAAGCACCCGCCCAGAATGAGGTCTCGAAAAGTGAAATCAATTCTGACGGTGCTGAGGTGTCAGCTGCTCTCCTCCTTCGTGAGGGTCTTGATTACTTCAGCAATCACACAGTGCTCGACTTGGAGAGTGGAGGCGACACATCACCGTATCGCGAAGAGTACGCGAGAGCGATTTTGGCAATGTCGCATCGCATTCTGGATGTGGTGCTGGCGTCGGCACTCCAGTGGCCGTGGAGCCTTCGTCGTTGTCTGCGGTTTTTAGTGGAGATGGTTGGCACGCGCTGTCAGGGAGAGACACCACCAGTGCACGCCGAGGCGCCGATACCTTTGGAACAGAATATGATGGCAACAATTGTGGTTCTTCGAGCGGTGGTTCCGGCGCTGCTGAGGACTCTTCCCCGACTACTCCCAGAAGAGATGTGCTTCGACAGACAATACGTCTTGGTGCAGAGACGCTGCACCTTGCTGGCGAAGGTGACACAAAAGGCGACCCATGGATTGCTGTTTAATGGATCACACGAGAAGAGGATCTCGGCTTTAAACAGCGGCCTCCCAGCTCTTACACAGCGATGGGTGGATGGGTTTGCGTTGATTTGCACTGATGTAGAGCAGCCATCGCCACGCCAAGATAGTGATGCCTTATCACGTGAGGCGGAGGCGGCCCTGCGGCTTTGCGAGTTCCTCGATCAACAGCTGCCTCGTGTCATGCATGCGGCGATGCGATGCAAACCAATCATGGAGTCTGTTCACTGGGGCCGCGTACTGCGCCTCATAGCGTACGGTGAGCGGCGTTTGGGGCGTATTGGTCACTTTGCTACATCACCGCTGTCGTACGGTATTCTGTGCCCCAACAACAGCAACATCAACATCAACACCAATACCAGCCTCATCATTACCAGTGGCGCCGTCGAACCTGCGGCACCGTTGCAGAGGCCTCGTCACATGCTTGGGCAACTCTCCCGCCTGGGCCATTCCCGATCGTCATCTGATGCGCCCGATGTGGACAGCAGGACTACGCTACAGCTGGAGGGTATTTTTGATGAGTTGGTTGCGTACGCCCTTGGGGTGACGATTGATCCAGAAATCACGGGATTGCACGCCAATTTTTGCAGTGTTTTGGGTGTCTCATCTGATGGTGCCGTTGTTATCACGCTGTACTGGGATCTGCTCTGTTTATATCTCGACAGCTACTATGCGAAGGAGAGAGACGAGTTGCCTAGGCGGTGCCCACGGTTTTACCGCCATAGAAGACACTCGGAGCACCGAGACGGCGACGCTCTCGCATTTCTCTTCCTTCTCGTGGATGTGGCGGTGTCGACAAAAGGCGGTGAGGGGTTTCGCCTTGTTGTTATCGCCGGCAACTCATCCGCGTGTTTCTCTTGGCTGGGCGATGTTCTTCGACTGCTGCCAGCGAGACACGCGGTGCGGTGTGTGCGCGTGCTTCTGCTGACCACAGCGGAGTTCCGTATGCCGCATCGCGGGTGGTGTGATCCCTTTGAGGTGAAGGTTCTGCAGCGCCTCGGTGATCTGGTGGCTGCGCTGCGGGACATGCGCCTCTGCATGCCTCTCGGCTGCGACGAGTACCGCGCACTTCTAGAAGAGGAAGAAGAACAGGCGGTGGGTGAGCGGCTCACTGACGCATTTTTTCCCTCCGTTGCTGAGACGGTAGATGATGGCATTTATGTGTGGGCACCGCCAGTGCTGCACATGTCACTGAAGGCACGAGAGGTGGGCCTCTGGCCTGTGGCTTTGATGCGCGACGTGTTTGAACTTATCCGCACCGCGTTTCGCCCCGTCTGTGTGCCAGCAGCTGTATCATCGTCAAGCGAGGACCGCGCGCTGGAGCGACTGACGTGTAGCATTCCAGTGGGCGTTACGAGTAACTTTCGTATGAGTGCAGTGGAATTTTTCTTTAACTTCGAGGGTGATCTCTTGCTGCACTTGGAGATGGAACCGGGGTGGCTGCGCGACGCTGCGAGGACTACAGGTGGCACTTCACCCTCTTCCAAGCAGCAGAAAAACCATGGTAACTACCACCATGAAAAACACCAGAGCCGATTTCGATGCACATGGCGCTCCGTGGCGCACATGCAGAAGAGCGACTTGGAGGCCCACGAGAGTAGTTTGCTCCGCCTGCTCTTCCTGTCGACGCAGTGCCTCTATACAGCAGGTGGGTGTCTCAAAAGCTGTAGTTCCGCCGATGGGGCGGTGGGAGGCGGACAAGGATTGCCGAGTGTGGTTCCCAGTCTTCGCCACACCACGCTGAATTCTCTCTGGCGGCTTCTGCTTTACAATTTGTGGAAGACGCTTTCCTTGGTGCAGCAGGTGTCGCCATCAGAGTGCCCTGTAACGCGCATGGTGACATCTGTGCGTGCGTACCTGGAACGAGTGGGGTGCCAGGTTCTTCCTTCCAAAGACATAAACCTTCTGGGTGGAGAGAGTATGTTGCTGGATGTCGCTGCGGCCGCCCTCGCTTCCACCCCCGTTGCAGAATGTGAGCTCATTCAACTCCTTGTAGCAATCTGTAGTTTTGTTCGCTCGGCTGACTTCGAGGAGCTTGGCCCCGACGCCAAGGGTCAGAGTGACGACATCTCTGAACACGAAGAGGCCATGACAGACGGCGTCATACGCATCCTATTTCAAAAGGGGGTGTTGGACGATGCCGAGATTTTCGTTGCGCGGCTGATTGCCTCGCGGGGTGATATGTTGCTAAAAACTGCGCAGGTGCCCTCTTGGGACAGAGGGTTGTGGATGCCACATATCGGTTTCATTCACCTGCACTGAGATGCCTCCTCGAAATGACAGTTAACCTATCGTAGCGGTCGGCTCCTCGCTGGGGCCTCCAGCCGGCTGCATCATACGGCCTTCTTTGGCCTTGCCTTTCTGTAATTGTTTTGCCTGACTGTTTTATGTTATGCATCGCCAAGCACACAGAGATGGCTCTCCCAGAGAGAGATCTTCTGCAACTGGTCTTTTTTTTTTTATTCGCTTCGTATTCACCTCTTTCATTTTCTTCTTCTGCATCTGTGTCTTCACGTGTGTGTGTGTGTGTGTATGTTTGTAATTCTCTTGTGGGGGATAGGGGGCAAAGGGTTCGCGTAGCGGAAGAAAATGAGCACTGCAGAGGGGTCTGTTCTGCAGTCGCTGGATGGCACAGACATGATCGAGTCCGACGTGCTGGCGACCGCGCTGCGGCTCGACCACCAGGAGGTCGTCGGCGCCATCAAGTCACTGGAGTCCGATGGTTACGTTAAGAGCGAAATTAAGACAAAGCCAACGTGGAAGCTGACGAGCGAGGCCGTGCAGATCTGCGAGAACGGCAGCCCTGAGTACCTCCTCTGGCAGCTGCTGGCCAGCGGTGAGATGACGCAAGATGCCGTGGTGGAGAAGCTGGGGAAAGATGTGACCGCCGTGGCGATGTCAAATGGCATGAAGGCGAAGATCTTCACACTCAGCAAGAAGGACGGAAAGGTAATTCTCAGCCGCTCGCCTTCCGTTACGGCGTTTGAAGACGGCACACGACTCGCCCTTGCCCGCGCCGCGAAGGGTGAGCACGTCGACCCGAAGGACGCTGATATGCTTAAGAAGCGCAAACTGGCGATGCTCGACAACGTGAAGGTGTTCTGTGCGACGAAGGGGCCCAACTACGCGACGAAGCGGCGTGCCAAGGCGGTGGGCGATCTCACGAAGGAGATGCTGCAGGACGGCTCGTGGAGGACAACGGAGTTCAAGGAGTACAACGTGGGCGCGGCGGGCCGAGAGGTGAGCTGCGGTCAGCTGCACCCACTGTTGAAGGTGCGGCAGGAGTTTCGCGAGATATTCATGGAGCTCGGCTTCCAGGAGATGGAGACCGACCGCTGGGTCGAGTCGTCCTTCTGGAACTTCGACGCGCTTTTCATCGCACAGAACCACCCGGCCCGCGACGTGCAGGACACGTTCTTTGTCTCTAAGCCGGCCACCTGTGAGCTGAATCACCGCGATGTGGTGGAGCGTGTGCGTGAGATGCACGAAAAGAAGTTCCGCTACACATGGCGCGAGGAGGAGGCGCGGCGCAACACACTGCGCACGCACACCACCTGCTGCTCGGGCTTTTGGCTGCAGCACATCGCCAAGTCGTCGCCGCTGCTGCCGGACGGGCGGCGTGCGTTCCGCCCCGGCCGCTATTACAGCATTGACCGTGTCTTCCGCAATGAGGAGATGGACCGCACGCACCTTTGCGAGTTCCACCAGATCGAGGGCTGCGTCATTGACCGCAACATCTCCCTGTCGAACATGATGCACACGTTCCAACTTTTCTTCAGTCGCATCGGTGTGGAGAAGCTGCGCTTCAAGCCTGTCTATAACCCCTATACGGAGCCGTCAATGGAAATATTCGGCTGGCACAAGCAGCTGCGGCGCTGGATCGAGGTAGGCAACAGCGGCCTCTTCCGGCCGGAGATGCTCGTGCCGCTCGGCTTTGACGAGGACGTGACGGTGATGGCGTGGGGCCTCTCGCTCGAGCGCCCCACAATGATCAAGTACGGCCTGTCGAGCATCCACGAGCTCTTTGGTCACAAGGTGGATCTGCGCTTCATCAAAAAATCTAAGCTGATGCGCTTCTAAGACGTTGTGTGACACCACGCCAGCAGGCGGGGGGAGGAGAAGAAAACAAACAAAGAAAAACAAGAAAGAGAAAACATTACAAGCACGACGGCAGTGGTGGGGCGACGGGGAGACGGAGAAACCGAAATGGTGGGATGAAGCGAAAAGGGGGGGAAGGAAAGAAAAAAACAAGAAACAATGGAGGAGAAAAAAGAAAAAAAATACTGACGGGGATGACGCAAGGCTCAAGGTTGGCTTGTTGCCGTCGCCCTCGGCACTGAAAATAATATGCCGCAGGTGTGGTCCCGCCTTCCCGATGCTGCTGCTCCCCGCGGCTCCTGATTCTTCCCACCACTGCACCTCTGCCTGGCCGGGGGTTATCCGGTGCCGCCTTGATTGCTGTTGCTGTGTGCCCCGGTGCTGCCTTGCCGCCCTCAGAACAACAACACAAAAAACAAAGACCGCATTGTATTTCTCTCCTCTTCTTTTCTCTTTTCTTCTCTTTTTTTTTTTT